CAGGAGTCTCCACACCCTGCCCCCCCACAGCCCCTCTAACCCCAAAGTCACCGAGGGAAATGGCTATCTAAGAACCAATGGCAGATAGAAAGGTGCAGAGTATTTTGTCATCTCCTGTAAGTAAGAAGGCTATACATGGACTACCCTTCCCTAAGCCAGTTGGGCCTGGAGGACTTTAGTTCAAAGCAGACCTTGAGGTATGTGCTATTTTTCCCCTCATCTCTAACATCCAAACCTGAGTTTGGGGACTTATCATCATGATGGGAGATTGTGCCACGGAAATGGACCTAAAATCAGAGAGAGAGAGCCAGAGCCAGACAAAGAAAGAAAGAGACACAGGGAGTGACAGAGGATGGCAGAGGAGGGGTGGTGGCAGGCAGGGCAGAGAGAAGGTGATAAAGGGGGCATTGATGCACAGAGAATGGGACAGAGAGAAGCAGAGAGGCATAAAAAGACAGGGGCAGAGAGAGACAGGAACAGAGAAAGAGAGGGACAGGGAGAGATAGAGAGGCAGGAAGAGAGAGGGGCAGGGAGAAAGAGTGGTCAGAGAGAGGGGTGCACACAGAGAGAGTGACCAAAAGAGGCAGAGAGAGGAGCAGAGAGAGCGTCACAGGCTGAGAAGGAGGGGAGCAGAGAGAGGCAGAAAGAGGTAGAGAAAGGGGGCAGAGAGGGCATCAGAGATATACAGAGAGGCAGAGAGGGGAAGAGGGGCAGAGAGGCAGAGATGGAGGCAGAAAGGTGCAGAAGGAGGCATTGGGGGAGGCAGAGGGGGTGGCAGAGTGGCGTAGGAGAGAGGGTGGCAGAGAGGTGGATAGGAGAGAGGGTGGTAGAGAGGGAGGGTAGGAGAGAAGTGTGATAGAGGAATGTAGAGAAGAGGAGGTAGGGAGGAGAGGTCAAGAGAGAGAAGAGGACATGAGAAGAGTAGGGAGAGAGAAGGAGGCAGAGAGCAGCAGAGAGAAAGGGGCAAAGAGAGGGGAAGAGAGGTAGAGAGTAGTAGAGGCAGAGGGGCAGGGAGGGGTAGAGAGAGAGAGGGGCAGGGAGATTCAGAGGGACAGAGAGAGGCAGAGAGAGAGCCACCGGGAGAGATAGGGGCAGAGATAGGCAGAGAAAAAGGGCAAAGGGGCAGAGACAGGGGTGCAGGGAGGCAAGGAGGAAGGCAGGGCGGACAAAAGGAGGCAGGGAGGGGTAGAGATAGTGCACAGAGAGGTAGATAGAGGAGTAGAACGGGGTAGAGAGAGGTGCATAGGGGAGCAGAGAGAGAGGGGCCAGAGGGGGGAGATGAGATAGAGGCAGAGGGGATAGAAAAAGGCAGAGAAGAGGGGGAGGGGTAGAGAGAGGGCATCAGAAATATACAGAGAGAGGCAGAGAGGGAAAGGGGCAGAGAGGCAGAGATGGGGGCAGAGAGGTGAAGAAGGAGGCAGTGGGAGAGGCAGAGAAGGGGGCAGAAATAGGTGGGGGGGGCAGAAAAAGGCAGAGAGAGAGAAGGGCAGAATAGGCAGAGAGAGGAGGCCAGGGAAAGAGAGGAAGGGGCAGAGAGGGAGGGCAAAGAGACTGGGCAGGGAGGCAGAGAGGGGGTGCCAGAGAGGGGAGATGAGAGAGGGGAGCAGAAAGATTCAGTGAGGGGGGCAGGGAAGCAGTGGAGGGACAGAAAGGGAAGGCAAATAGAGGGGGCAGGGAGACAGAGGGGAGCAGAAAGGCAGAGTGGGATAGGAAAGGGTGCAGAGAAGAGTGTAGGAAAGAGAGGAGGTGAGAAAGAAGGCACAGAAAGGGGGCAGGAGAGAGAAGGGGACACAAGAGAAGATGGCAAAGAGAGCGGGCACAGAAAGAGGGCACAGAGAGAAGACAGCAGAGAGGAGAGGCTGAGAGGCCAGCAGAGAGAGAGGGAAGCAGATCGGGGCAGGGAGATAGGGTGAGAACGAGAAGGGAGAGGTAGTCAGAGGGGGGGGGCAAGGTTAGAGAAAGAGAGGCTGAGGTAGGTAGAGAGGTGAGGAGAACCTTGGAGAAGGGGAGAGGCAAGGAGAGATGGGAAGAGGGGGAGTCTGAGGATTGTTTCCTAGGCCAGTACTGCTCAAACTTACGGGAGCACAGAAACCCTACGGAGATTTTATGGTTTTATTTATTTATTTGTTTTTAGACAGAAAGAGAGAGGGATAGAGAGATAGAAATATCACATGGATGATAGAGAAATATCATCTATTGGCTGCCTCCTGCATGCCCCCTACTATGGAACAAGTCCGTAACCCCAGCATGTGTCCTGACCTCTATGGTTCCTAGGTCAGTGCTCAACCACTGAGCCACACCAGGTGGGCCCCCTCCCCTAGAATTTTAGTAAAATATAGATTCTGATTGTGGGTCTGGGGTGGAGCCTGAGAGTCTGCGTTTTTAACAAGCACCCAGTTCGTGGTGCAGGTCCACAGATCACACTTGGGGTAGCCAGAATCTAGAGAGGATAGACTTACCTTCACAAATAAGGAAAAAGGGGGCAACCAAAGTAAATTCCCAGCATCCTTGGGCCTCCCTGAGAACTCACTCTTACTTTTAGACTGGGGAGCTGATTGTACTCAACAGTCATCTGAGTGCCAGGTCACAGCTGACTGAAAGCAGCCAATTAGAAGGTTGTTGGGGTAAAAGGTGATCTCCCAGGTAGGCACCCTGGTATGAGTGATAGGTAACAGCAAACATATACTCAAAAGGCTGGCCAGAAGTCTCACTGTTTTGTGTGCCATGTACTTTTTGCTGTTCATATTGCTGCCAAGCCAGTAAAAAATTAAATGATGCTTACATTCAGGTTAAGACAGGAAAATATGGAGTCCGTCCTAGAAAAATTGCATAAAAATGTCAAACACAAAAAATAATTCTGATGCTTCTGAAGGGATAAGCACCATTTTGTGGATGTGAAGTAGCTCATTCCTTCCAAATATCTACGTAAATGTGCGTGTGTTATTAACATCTTCAATCTGACTACCACTAGTCATGTTGATTAGTGCCTATTATCATTTCTGATCTGTATCATTTTTGTACTGTTTGTTTTAAGAAAGAAAATAAGGGGTTTGGATTAGAAAATTTCAGATGACTTTTACAACTCTAAGACTGTCTATGAAATGTGTATAATTATTTTAAAATGATAATTGGTTAGTGCATTAGATGTAGAAACGTGGATGTGTTAATATAACAAGATTAACTTATTTTTAGGTTGTCTATTGCTAAATCAAGTAAACTGCTAAATCAGTGTAAAGTTGTTAGAAATCTCAGGATAAAATGAACTAGTCTCTGTGTACAAATTTATATAAAAGGAACTAAGGGAAAAAGTAATTGAGGGACTCTTTAGAAAAGAGCCTCAAAGACGTTTTAAAACAGCCATAATTCAACAGACTCTGGTTTTGGATAGGTTTAATAAGTTGTTATTTTTGTCCCTCAAGAGGGGCAGAATTTTATTATGGATTTCTGTGGAGTGTTTGAAACCATACTTTTTAGGTAAATGGCATAGTTTCCAGGAGAAGAGGCCAAAACAAACTATGAATCACAGAGACTTCACGTTTCATTTGTATTCCTCTACCTACTGCTGCTTACTCTAATGAAATGTGTTCTGAGTTGAGAATTTAATGCCACAATGCTCTTTGAATGTGAATAGCAGCTGAGGTGAGTAGATGGAGCCCTTGTGTTCCAGTGTCTTTAGTGCTGATGGGCTTGGGTTAAATGCCACCCCACCCTCACCTTCCATACTGGTGCCCAGTATGCCAGAATAAGACTCAGTCAGTGGTGCTAGAATGCACCCAACTGAGCTTTCAGATCCAGAATGCAGGCTTAGGAATGAAGATTCATACAACTTCAAAAATATTTCAATAAAAGCCTTGCTGTCCTCTTAGTAAACATATATTTTTAAACATTTGTAAAGGAAATACAGATTTTTTTTCATTCTTATTCTTGATTTAATAAAGCTTCAGTATACACAAATGTTGTATATTTGCTTAAAATGAATAAATTTCATGTTTCCAATAATTTATGAATAGGGCATAACTAAGATGCATAGAAAAAGACTGGGAAAGTGGACACAATATACTTGACCTTTTAAAAGCCACTTGGAATGTGAGGCCGTTGTCGGAGTTGTAAGGGCAACCTTAAAGGCTCTGAGAGAAGATTAACCAATAGCTATCTTTAACATTTCAGCCAGATTTAGTAGATTTAGTTCATCACTGATTTTAGTTAATCTGAGAACAAGAATGCTAAAAGGAACAACCACCACAGCTAGTTTCCAGAGGCTTCTGAAGAAGTGGTATTCTGATGGGGCTTGTTAGAACAGAGTTATATGTTTCTATAAGAGCAATCTTTAAGATGGAGAGAGAAGCTGACTTTAATCCAAGGTAGCTGAGCAGAATTTGTTAAATTGGATAATGTAATATCCTGGTGAGGAAAATAATTTCAGTTGGAGTTTGGACAGTCCTGGATTGGCCATTGTTTCTCATTGAGAAGCTTATCTCTGTTTTAATAAAATAATAAATCCAAGCTAAAAAATAAACTTGTCTATCAGTGACCCTGGTTGTCATTCTAAAGATGATAGGTCTAGTCATAATAGTGTGGGAACATCACTCTGATTGGGGAAAAGGTCTTTAAAGTAAACTGACAAATAAAAACATGCTGGATAGTTCTATTTGGTTTTGCTCTAATTGGCTTTGTTTCATTCAGTGGATGATTAATATTTTACTATGTTTTAAAATTAGAATTCTGGCACAAGGTAGGACCCTAGTACATGCCTACAACAAGGATCATTATTATCATTCTAGATTGTCTCCTTCCTCATGGCTACTAAATGCCAGCTACTGGCTAGAACCTCCTGGCAGCAGAACAGTCTTAGAATTCTCCAGAACCCCATTAAGAATTAGCTAAAACAACAGTTCAGATGATCATGTGATTTTTTTTCCTTATTCTGTTAATATGGTGAATTTCACTAATTGATTTTTTTGCAACATTATTGATTTTCAAATGTTAAGCAGCCTTTCCTTCCTGAGATCAACCCCACTTGGTCATGTATTGGTAGCCTTTTTCTGTATTGCCAGGTTCAATTTGCTTATATATTGGTAAGTATCTGGGGGTGTATGTTCATGGAGTTGTCTCTGTGGGAAGGTTTTAAATTATGACTTGTTTCTTTAATAGATACAGACTTTCTATTTTTCCTTGAGTCACTTCTGGTATATACTGTGACTGCAATTCCCCAGTTGCCCGCCCCTCCCATTCTCCATGGCCCAGAATGTGCCTCTAGGCAGAAAGCTGGGACAATAGTAGGGCTTGCCTCCTTGTTTCCTTTCTCTTGGGGAATAGTCCCATGCTGTCTGTTGCCAATTTCCGGAAACAGCTGTTTCATATATTTTGTCCAGCTTTCTAGTTGTTTCTGGCAGAAGGGTGAGTGTGGGCTTTATTCTACCATCATTATCATCATGATGAGAAATAGGAGCTCCATAAGCTTTTATTTTTTTTGGATTTTTTTCTTGAGTTTTAGAGAGAGAGGAAGGGAAAGGGGGAAAGAGAATCATTAATGTGAGAGGGCAACATTGATTGGCTGCCTCCTGCGTGCCCCCTACCCTGGATCAAGCCGTCAGCCCAGGCATGTGCCCTGACTGGGAATTGAACCAGCAACCCCTTGGTGCACAGGAAGACGCCCAACCAACTGAACCACACTGGCCAGGGCTCCATAAGAATTTTTAGGAATGAAGGTTACGATTTTTGTTGCTCTGGTTCAACCAGATCTATAAGCATGAACTTGAAACTGTAGATAGTTTTGTGGACTCCATCTTCCTTTTAATCTTTGACTGTATTCCAAGTTGCAGTTCAACTGTCTTTTCACAAAAATATTGGTACCACTCTGTCTTAGACATTGAACTTTAACCTTATTTCTCTCTTCATTTAAGTTTCCTTCAGCATTTGAATTTAATGAGCTATTCTTGATTACAATCTTGGATCACCTTTATAGCTGTCTCTTTGGGACTTTCTTGTGCAACTGTGAACAGCAGCGATTCAAAGAGGTAAGTGTGTTATATCTTATCCACTGCTTTCCCAGTTGAACAGTTGCCTTTCCCATTAAGTGCCACTGTAGAAGGGGGACGGAGTGGAAAGGGGACTTGAGTCTAGCTCTGCTGCTGTCTGTAAATGGAGGGGTTGGCACTAGATGCCATCTGGGTTCATCAGCCCCAGCACAGGTGTCTAATCTTCCAGGTTATCTAAAACAAGCCCCTTACTTTCTGGGGGCTGGGGGCTGGGATACAGCAAGCCCACTGCTCTCTGAGGTCTATAGGATCAATACAAGATTCTGGACTCCCTAAACTCCAAGCTCATGTACTTTCCACAGCACCGACTCCAAAATAATATGATTTTGCTTATCATCTTCTGTGCTTTTGGGCGGAAGGGTACTTGGAGACCTAGGAAAATGAAGTCTGTATATTAGCCCCAAATCTCCCTTTGGGTAGCAAGCTAAACTTTCTTTTCCATCAAGCTGGTAAAGCAGCAGGCAGATACCAAGCCTCTCAGAGTTACATCTCACCTCTTCTTCCTTTTCTCCTCACTTTGGGATAAAAGAAAGAAATGATCAAAAGTGAGGAAGTGTTGGGAAAAGGCAGCTTAAAGAGTATCTTCTGGGTAATATAGAAGAGGACTATCATCTGCAGGCAAAATATATTAGAACATTATAGAATTTAGGAGGAAACAGTAGGTCACTAGCACTCACTTCTCTTTCTTAGCAGCCTCCTCACTGTTGAACACTTCCTCATTCCATGCTGCTCCCCTCAAAGTCTCCCCCAGCTCACTAGCCTCCCCCGCCCCAGTCTCTCCCTTTTAAACCATCTTCTATTCCACTGGAGTGACCTGGGCTCAGTCCTCGGTCTTCTTCTCACCCCAAACTCTATTCTCTCTCTAGGTGACTTCATCTGTCTCAGGGCTCTAAATGCCACCCGGCTACTCCCCAGCTGTTTTGCATCCCTAGGAAATGGCACCTCTTCCCATTGAGATGCTGAGACCAAATACAGAGGCCATCTTCAATTCCTCTTTCACCCTCCCCACAGCTGCCATATCCAGTCCATCAACGAGTATTGCTGACCCTGTCCCCCAAATATGTTCTTAATCTGGCCACTTCTCACTTCTTTACAACTACAAGTCTAGTTCAAGCTACACCATCTCACATCTGGACTAAAGCAGCTACCCAGGAACGGCCTTTGCTCCTTCTATTTCTGATCTCCAGCAGTCCACTCTAAACATAGCAACCAGGGCAGCATTCCCAAACATTAGTCCCACCATATGCCTCTTTCCTGCCTGAAACCTCCCCGTAGCTTGCCACTGCGATCAGGATAAAATCCATATTCCTGTGGGCCCAGTATGATGGAGCTGTTTGATAAAAAGAAAAAAAAAAATTAGAGAGTGAATTTTATGGTATGCAACTTATATCCCAATAAAGTCATTTTTAAAAAATCAGCAACAGAAGAATGAAGTTCATATGTAGAATTTAAACCCTATGTCCTTACCTTTTTTTGCCAAAATGTACTCTTTAAAAAAATATACAGCTCTTTTGAGATACAAATTCACCCTTTAAAAGTGTACATACAGTTCAGTGGTTTTTAGTATGTTGAGTGTGCAACCATTGCCATCTTTCATAAAATTTTCATTACCCTCAAAAGATACCCTATACCCATTAGTAATCATTTCCCATCAGTGTGTAGTAAGGGTCCAATTTCATTCTTTTGCATGTAGTTATCTAGTTGTCCCATCACCATTTGTTGAAAAGACCATCATCTTTCCCCCATTTTCTTGGCACTTTTATTGAAAATCAGTTGACTGTAAATGTGAGGGTTTATTTCTGTACTGTTTTCTATTCCATTGCATGCCACCATTCTGTGCCACCACCACCTGTATTATTATACCTTTGTTGTAAGTTTTGAAATTGGGAAGTATGAGACCTCCAAATTGGTTCTTCAAAATTGTTTTGGCTATTCGGGGTCCCTTGCTGGTGTTTCTCTTATATATACAAAATATAAAATATGAAAAGGTCCTAATTGAATTTTCTGAGTCTGGATAGCTTGTGAGGAAACCAGCTGTCTTAGGGCATAATGGTAGAAAACACTCTTGGCTTCATCATTTCCTTGTTTTGATTCTGTCACTGTGCTTGATCCATGTTTAATGTTTACCTGCCCTGCCATGCATGTGGGTTTGGGAGTTTTCATTCGGATGAGCAGTGTAAATGATTATAGCATTTCTAAACATGAGCAATGTAAGTGGTTATAACATTTCTAAACAGTGTACTGTAAAATCAGGTGGTGGGGAGATATAATTTAATGATATATTTACTTCTCTATATAAGGCTTCTTCAGCCCAGGGTGCTGGCATGTTTTTCACAATGAAAGGCATCTTATATGTAAATTCTACCCACAGTCATTAATATTAAGGGTCGCAGAAGTACACTGCAAACCACAATTAAAAATGTATTTGTTAGAGATGAGACCCATCATTCCGTGGTTGTTAGAAAGTTCTCATTCTGCCTTCACACAGACGCAGTTGCCAGATGTTAACTAGCTCAGCAATCATTTTTCCAGGAGAGTAATCAGTGTGTACTTTCATGTCATTCCTAGAATGAGGGCAGTGCATGACAGAGGGATGTGTGTAGGGCTTAGTAAATGTTCCTGAATTTTTGTTTGAGCTGCATTCATTATGCAAGCCTTTTTCTTTATGTAATAAAAATTCTTGAGGATATGAAGAAAAGCTGAATTTATTTCACTATATTCCTTTTTTGTTTTTCAGGATGTACATACAAAGACTATATCCTTATGGTCTTGTATCAATAGCCAGCTTGATGAATTTTCTAATCCCTTCTTTGTGAATTATGAAAACCATGTCTTATATCCTGTTGCTAGTCTGAGTCATTTGGAATTATGGGTAAACTATTATGTGCGATGGAATCCACGAATGAGGCCTCAGGTATCTTTTGGTTTTTCTTCTTTTCAAAAGAGCATGTATTTTTGTTCAGATAAAGGTGGTGTTGCAGAAATGGGTGCATCTAGATGTTAGTACTGAAGGCCCTCTGCCCTTGCCTCTCTAGGTTCAACCCTTTGTATTCATGTTTCAGCAAGTTCTTTCCACACACCAACCCAGATGCCATTTGCTGGGCTAGATTAAAAATCTTAGCACCTCTGTCTTCTGCTGATGGTACATAGATGAAGTATTACCAGGTACCATGTTTAACTCAGTCTTTCCAGGAACTTGACTCAGAGGTGTTATGGGGGTAGCAGTACCAATGATGCAGGGTACCATATGTGGAGTCAGTAGAAGGGTATTTATGTGAAAAATGCATCATGGTTCCAGTTTCTAGATTCTGGTAGCACAACAGAAATGGGACCTGTGCTGAGTCACAGAGCAGGTGCCCCTTGAAGAACGGGTAAAGATTCCGCCTCCTGCCACACTTTTTACTCTACTATTTTCTGAGATTGAAAAAACATTAGAAAATGGTGCACAGCAAGGCCAGGCAGCTGAGCTGTGGTCACCCTTGGTGTTTAGTGGCTGAGCTTGGGCTGTGGCTCGGGCACTACCACTTAGGGTCAAGGTGCTCCCCCAAGCCTCTGCTCTACACAGTCCTGCTCCACCCTCAATCTCCTCCACATGGGTGGCTGGGGCATGGTTGGTGCTGGGTGGGGAGCAGACTGATGGAGGCAGCCCTTACCTCCGTGGACAGATGGCTTTCTGCTGAAGTTGTTTTTTTAAAGTTAACTTTTTTTTTAGTTTAGCATTTTATTATTTTATTTTATTTTATTTTATTATTTTATTTTATTATTTTAATTTTAATCCTCACCAAGGTTATTTTTTCCACTGATTTTTTAGAGAGAGTGAAGAGTGGGGGAAAGAGGGAGAGAGAGAAAGAAATACCTAAGTGACAGAGAAACATTGATTGGTTGCCTTCTGTACCTGCCCTGACCAGGGCCAGGGATCAAACCTGCAACTGAGGTACGTTCTCTTGACTGGAAATCAAACCTGAGACCCTTCTGTTCATTGGCCGATGCTCTAACCACTGAGCAAAACCAGCCAGGGCTAAAGTTAAATATTGTTAGGGTTTCCTGGCAGTCCATCTAGAGTGTGTTTCCAGGGGCTTGCTTAACATCATTGCTTCTGTCAGCCACAGATCTGCCTTTCCTCTCTGCCCTCTTCCTTCTCAGTTCTTCCCTCTCATTCAGTGTCTTCAGTCTCTAAAGGCATATTTCATCTCTGTCTTAATCTGCTGGAGCTGCCATAACAAAGTAACACAAGCTGGGTGGCTTAAACAACAGAAATGTACTACCTCCCAGTTCTGGATGCTAGAAGTTCAAGATCAGGTGTCTGAGGGAATCATCTGCTCCAGGTCTCTGTCCTTGACTTGTAGATGGCCATCCTCTCCCTGTGTTTCTTAACATCATCACCACTTTATGCGTGTTTTTGTGTCCAAATTTCCCCTTTTTATAAGGACACCAGTCATATTGGATTAGGGTGCACCCTAATGATTTCAGTTTGACTTGATCACCTCTGTAAAAACCATTTTTCCAAATACAGTCACATTCTGTGATATGGGGGTTAGAACTTCAACATATTAATGCGGGGATACAATCCAACCCATAATAACCCCCAAGCCCCACTAACCATGGGGAAGACCAAACTGTTCATTTCTCTTTTCAGTTGGCTTGGCACTTGAACTTCAAAGGTACCTTCACTTTACTAACCTTTCCACCCTACTGGAAGATTTGCTTACCATAGACTTGGCACCAGGTTTTGTCTGACAGGTGCAAACTCTGCCCAAGGCACTGCTTTTCATCTCCTGACCAGCTCCCTTTCTCTGTAACACTACAGCCCAAGCTGCTCATCATTTGCCTCTTTTTGCCCTGTTCCTGGTTTATTTCATTTGTTCAACGAAGCTTTAGCTACAAAAGCCCTTTCCTCTTCTAGAATCTCTGAGTCAGCCATGCCACCCTCAAGACCTGAGGCCTGTTTTCCAGAACACCGTGATCAGGGCCTGCTCAGCCCAGTACTTGCCCTTCTCTCTGAGCAGGCCTTAGAACCAGGCCTCAGGTTCCCCTGCACCTGTGCCTCTGCCACCCTGTCCTCCAAGGCTGATGGACTCCATGCCCCGCAAGCTACCGCTCAGCCACCTCCAACTCTGAAAATGCTTTTCCTACCCTCTGCCTCTCATGGTGCCAATAGTTGGTTGTCTGAGAACCTTTTTTCATAACTTCCCTTACCTGAAACTCCCCTCCATTAACATATGAGGGCCCAGCTGCTGTTACTGTTTGCCATGCAGATTCCTAACGTGGTGCAAGGGGCCACTAGCTGCTTCCTATGTTACAACAGCATGAGCAGCAAGGCCAGTACACATTTCCACACTGGTGTGAGGGGACCTTAGCACTAAGGCAGCCACAGCACATTTCTAAATATCATATGGGTTCTGGATTTAGTGTGTGTTTTGAGTAGCAAAAATGCTAACTTTTAAGAGTTGTAAAATATTTTTATTGAAGAACATCTGAAGCTGGAGAAACACAGTCCCAACTTTTTGCCCCATGAAAACAAACTATACATTTAGTTAACTTTGGTCAGTGCTCAATGTTTTAAATACAGATTTTTAATTTCATTTGTGGCTAGTAAGCCATTAGTAACTCATTTCAAATGTTCAGTGCTTATGACTATACCAACAAGAATCCATCCTTAGCTCTGTGGCATCTGCTCAAAATGCTGTGACATCAGTTAGCAATAATCTGTGGCCTCCAAAAAGCTAAATCCATTTTCCTTCCCTCTTTGGAGTGGCCCATGCTTTGGGTGACTCATCCCCTAGTGGCCAAAGTCAGTCACACAATGCCCCCTGGTGCAGACAGTCATGGAAGGGAAGGCTGTCCCCAAGCAACCAGGGCCAAATCCTGTTTCTGATGGTGACTCTTGTCTCTGATGCCTGATGTGGAACAAGGTCCTTAGCTTCCCTGAGACCTTGTGGGGATACAATATAAAATAAACCCCTACCTTGAAGAGTAGTAGGCAGGTGGTCCAACTTTTTGTGTTCTCCCTGCACTGTGCTACACAGAAGAGAGAACTGGAAGGCAGTCTATGGGCCACAGCTTTTTATCCTCATTGCAACAAACACGCTTTGGAGACTTCCTAGGTGCCGGGCACACAGAGTGTGTTGGGGAGTGGGTTGGGCCTTGGAGACACCAGAGGCCAGAGCTTGGCAGGCCCAGGCTGCAGAGGGCCTTGTGAAGCATCACTAGGAGTTTGCACTTTATCCCAGGGGCTATAGGAGCCCCCACACCCTCTGCCAGGGTTTGTAGGGCAAGACCTGGTGTATGTTCTAGAAAGCTTACTCTGGTAACACTAAGGTGGTCAGGAATGGGGAGGGAGACAGTGAAAACTATGGCAAAGGAATCAGCAAGAAGGCTGATGTGGGTGTCCATGACGGGACAGTGAGGCAGGCTGAGCAGAGAGGAGAGGCAGGAAGGATAGACGGGTCACAAGTTTGTTGGGCCTCTTTCTTCTGTGGAGGACAGGCTAGATTGATTGCCTGGAGAGGGGCTCCTGGGCATCCATCAAAGGATGGCCAGGTGGGGAGGAGGGCCCAGCAGATATCTTGTGTCCTTTGGGATCCTCTTGGCTTGTGTCTCATACATGCTAGCACCCACTGGGTGACTGGCCCCTAGATGGGCATTTTCTTGAGCAAGCAGGCCTTTGGCTTATTGTTAATGAAGATGACATACAAAAAAAGATCTGAAAGACTGCATGGAGATGTATGATGCTCCTCTCAGGCCCTGGGTGTGTTAGCTAGTATATTCCCCACAGTCTGCTCTGAGGCCACATGCATGTGTATTAGTAATGGGACCCTGATTACAAAGCAGTCCATCATTTGATTGGAACCAAATGATTCTGCAAACAGGAAAATGCCAAATAGGTCCTAAGGCCAAGAGGGGTGCTATTGCCCTCCTCACAGTGGCTTTGGGATCAGCATCAAATCAGTTAATTTTCTCTTGTTATGATGGGGGCCTTTGCTGTCAGACTCCCACGTTGCCGTCCCCTCCCTTCTTCCTCTGACTTGCTAAGTCAGGAGTTTGTTCTTGGCCTCTTCAGTGCTGGTCACCGAGCCACCCTGCTATGGTGGGGGCACATGGCTGCCCTGGCTTTTTCATCCCTCCTCCCCCTCTTTTTCATCTCCCTTCTTCTCTTCTCATCTCTGGCTTGCTCACTCACATCTCTGTCCAGCTGTCCTATTTTCTGCCTGTCCCTCTCTTTCCCTTTCATCTGTGTCACCCCCTTGTCTCTGTCTTTCCTTCTTTCACTCATGTCTCTGTCCCTCCCTCTCATCTGTCCCTTTCTCATGTTTTCCCCTTCTCTGATCTCTGACCCTCTCATCTCTCTCTCTCCTTCCCTCTTCCCTCCAGTTGGGCTGATCATCACTGGCATCCCTGATGGGACAGTTCAGTTTTTGGTGGAAGTAAATGATAAACAGGCCTGGTGGGAGTGGAGAATCCAAAAGCCCCCTCCCTCCCTCAGCATGTGCTATTTGCACTAGTCCCTGTGGGATGAAGCAAGTATGTGTGTGAAAAAGGTGGGGGAAGTGTTTTAAGCAGAAGGGACAGCACATACTTGGAAGATTCTGGAATGCTGGAGGGAAGTGGAAGCTGGACCTGGTGAGAGGTGATTAGGAGAGGTAGGCTGGTGTCAGACCACACAGGGCCTTGAGGACAAGGGTGGCATGGAGAAGCCGTTGGAGGGTGTTAATTGGTTGTCCCTTGTTTCATGGAGGGAGGGAGAAGCTAGTGTCCCCAGGGCTTCTGGCTTCTGCCAACTCCTGTTCCAGTTGATGAAAGTGAATAAAACTTCAAGTTGTAGAAAGTGCTGATTTAACAGAAGTATGTTTAATCAGTAGACCTATTTATAATGTTGTAAAAATTCAGAGGTAATGGAGGCATGTGTACGTATGGAGGACATACATGTAAAACACTGCTCTGGGGCAGAAGCCAATAGTATTTTCTGACCAGTCTGAAGAAGACTGTCCCTTTCCCAGTCAGTACCTGTGGCCTTTCCTGATGCACAGGTTGAAGTTTCACCTGAGCCCCCTTGTGTTCTCTGGGAACCTGGCCAAGCTGACAGGAGAACGCAGGGTGACAAAAGCATCCCCATGGGGTCGGGTGAAGCCCCCGGCTCCTGGGTAAGGGGTCCCTGTAGCATGGCATGAGGAGACTTGGGATACCTGGGGCATTTTGGTTGTGAACTCATCCTGCAGTTAGAAGCATCTGCATGCTGAAAGGCTGTGTTAGAAACACAGTGCCCAAGAAGTGGCCTGCTAACGCAGCTGTGTCCTACTTGCCCCCAGATGCCGATTCACCAAAATCACAAGGAGCTGCTGGCCATCAGGGCGGAGCTGCAGAAGAGGGTGGAGGACCTGCAGCGGGAGGTGGCCACTCGAGCCTCATCCCCATCTGAGCGGGGCTCCTCACCTTCCCACTCAGTCACACCTGTCCATACTTCAGTCTGATGCTGCAAAGGTGGTGGTTCCAGTGAGTCCAGCCATCAAGGCCATCCTGTGGCTCACTGCTCTCCCCAGTGACTCAGGCAAGGGTCCTGCAACCTGTTCCGGCTGTAGATTGTGATCTTGTCTTTTAGGATTAGGCCCGGTGCCCTCCACATCTGGATGGCACTTCCAGCCAGTGACCATGTGTGTAGCTAAGTGACAGCTCCCACTGTCATCTGCACTTTTTGTTTTCTGAACACTCCATTTCCCTCCTGTTGGGTTTCTCAGGGTGGCTGTCTGTCCCGTTGACCCTGTGACCTGCACCCAAGCTGCTTGGGAGAAACTATAGTGAATGGAATGCAATGCTTAGGTTCAAGGTCTCATACCATTTCTTTCCTTCATTAAAACAAATGCCATTCACTTAGAGACCACATTGCCAGCCATGGGGCTTCTTTCAGCTCCTTGCTACAATTTGAACTGTTTTAAAATTAACTATTTTGGGGGAAAGATATACCATTGCCCTGTCTTCTAGAGTTCTCTTCTTGCAAGGGGTCCCCTGTACCAATTACTGTTGTGTACATGTAAGGTATTTTTTAAAAAGAGAAATATGCATTTATTTTCCTATGCCCTTTTTATGTTTATACTAGTCACCCCAAGAGGTGTCTGCTAACTGGACTGTGTGAGAAATTCTTCTCAAAAAAAGCTCATGCTAACTTCTATGTGGTACATTTGAAATGCAATTTGAATATGATCATTTAAATGGCAATGTGTTGTATCCTCACCTAACTTTGGTACTTGCCTCCTGAGGTGGCCTAGGCCATTGATGGAAATAGCAGCCGTTTCCTTTGAGATGGCTTTGCAGAGGGGAAACAGAGGACCCCCAGCCGCTCTACACAAGTGCTGGCCTCCCTGTGGGCTCCCTTACGGAGCTGTCCACAGCTCCTGGCCTGTCTGATCTTGCAGCCTCCTGCTTCTTTACTGCTGCTGTTGTTTGTGTCAAAGTGAGTCCTCTCTCACCTGTTATCTGCCTTTCTGAAGATCCCGTTAATTCAGTTTATTCATATGACTTCATGTTAGTATTTTAAAGCAACCACTGACCTGTGGCTTCCGTTGCCAGAAGCACAGCACACACTTCCCTCGGTTTTCTCATCTCAGAGCCAACCTTCTCTAGCCAGGCCTCTCCTCCCAGTTTTGTGTCTTCACTCACTGACTTTGGGCTCTGGGACTCTATCAGTATGGGTAGGAACTAATTTACAATCAGCTGGTCCATCCACTAGCACTAAAGCTCTGAGCTCCTCTGTGTGGCATGTCACAGAATCTTGCACATTTGCACCCTCCCTAGCAGGTCACATCCTCTCCCTGCCCTTCCCATTTCTGCCAGTCACTGGGACCCCCATCATTGCAGGAATTAAGCTTGCCTTTGGAGTCAGATGGCCTCAGAAGCTCATAGGGCCAGACCTGAGTACAACTGCACTGGAATATCTAGTTTGTTTCAAGTTAGTGGATGCCATGAAAAGTCTTATATATTGACCTTATTTTTGAAAATATATTCTTAAAAAAGATTTTTTACAAATAGAGAATAGATGCTTTTTCAACTTTGGAACTTTCTGATTCTTACAGAAAATTATCTGGTACCCGTAAGGTATCAGTAGTACTTCTTCAAAGTAATTTGATCCCCTGAAATGAATTCTCCATTTTTATCAGCTGGAGATTTGTTTCTAAATCATAGTTCAACCGATATTAGCTTTTGATTTATGCTCCCAATATATCTGAAAGCTTATTTATGAATGGATAAACTGGATTATTCATCAATACACTGATTTTTTTCCTAAATGG